CCACTGGTTTACCATAATTAAATGACTCCAGACAAGCACACAAGACACTGGCACAAACAGTGGTTGTTTTACAGTCACAAGACAGGAGGCAGAACAAGGAGCCCACCCTGACCTGAGACACCAATAGTACCGCAGGGGCACCCACAGGCCTCTAGTGGGGTAGGGTTCCCGAGAGTAAAGTAAACAGAGGTAATTTCACACAACTAGGGAAAGCAAACACAGGAAGGCCCTGCTTGTGAAGGTATCGAGAGTGTCCATGCTCCCCCACAGTAACTTGAAGGCACTTCACACATTTCCTCATCCAAATTGAAGTCACCATGTGACTTCAGGGTTCTGCTCTGACAAGTCACTTCCCAAACCAGGCAGCATACTATTTCAGAGGCCTGAACCCTGCAGGTCTGCCTAGAAGTAGAGGCATCCCATAGTCAAAGCGAGAGCTAGCAGATTGTTGATTTTTGAAGACATTTTTGATTTTTGAAGACATGGGCAATTTCATTTTGAGATCTTTAGAAGTTCTACAAGCATAATTAACACACACTAAGTGCTAAATGCATTTTCTGAAAATTTCAACTTAAAAGTACAGTGCCCAAACCATGTAAGCCTCCTCTGAAAACCTGTCATGATGATAAACCTCCTTTATTGTACAGAATTGAAATTGTGGCCTAACTAGAAGCCAGTTTGAGTTCTACACATTACCTATTATGGGGTTTCAAACAGGAGATTACAGGAAGGAAGGAAGCAAGCTTTCAACTGCTTTGGGCCTCAGGCATGTCAGGATTAGGATCTGAGAACACAGAAGCATTTTCCAGTAGGAGAGCCACAAAAAGGATCTCCACCTGGAAAGGGTGATGAGGGAGAAGCTGCAATACAACTATTTAAGTCTTTTCCCGGCACAAAGTCTTATACAGCCACCTGACAGCAGAGGCTGTGGTCATCTTTTCACATGTGGGGGGTAGAAGAGAATGCAATCATGAAGACAGAGAAGGAACAAACTGGTGTCTCTACGACTTGCAGCACTCTTCCCTAGCCCGGCAGACTCAAAATGGCCACAAGGGCTACGCTAGAGTGAATGAGCAGTGCACACAGAAAGAGTCTGAAAGACCAAGCCCCAACTCCCAGTACTCTGAGCAAGAACACACATCAAACCACTGTAATTCCCGGGCCAACTCTTTCACTTGACCCAATTACTGTACTCCCCCAATGTCTGACCACTGAAGAGGCAGGTGCCTGGGCAGAGCCTCCACATCACAAACGATCACCCATTCTTAGACACAGAAGCTTAACTCTTCTAGAGCTGTCTGGCTAAATGAAGAAAGATATGAGGCCTTTTGCTGGCTTAGAACGACACCATAATCTTCAAAGCTAAGCTGACAACTCCCAGGATCAGAAGTTGGCAAACTGGAAAGAAGTAGGAACACACACATAAAGTACTACTGAGAAGCCTTAAGATAAATGGCTGTGCCAGTGTCACAGGACACACATCCTCTTGATAGAAACTGAAACCCACACATACATACCCATGTGTGTGCATGCAAACAGTGCCATGGAAAAGTAAGATGTTCACCAGCAGTTCTGCCTTGAAGCAAAATTCCTAATCGGGTTATAAATTGCTCTATTAGCATGCACAAAGTCACTGCATGTAGAACTCTAAGTAACAAAATATATTTCATGTGCTCAGATCTTTTCACTTCCTTCTTCAAGGGAAAATGAGCAGACAACTAAGGCCTATTCTCTGGAGCTATATATGGTGTATTTCTGGTGTTGTCTGTCTGTTTTTAAATATAAAAGTCTGTATCACATCATATGGGGGAAAGCCTGTGCTCACAACAAACCTGGGAAACGAGAAGGTCTCAGCAGCACCACCCAGCTGGCAAAGGCTCTGAACTCTGATCCCAGATGAGGCACACAAAGCACTCATTAAACACAGAAGGACAAGGGGCATGAAGCGCTGACCCAAGACAAATGAATCCTAGCTATTAGTGTGCAGGGCTGCTTGGCACTAGAGAAAGAATGCTGTATGGCATAAACAGTGAACTGGAGAGACGAATGGGCACGTGCAAACACACAGCAACTCAAGAACTTGACTTGCCATAAGCGGACGGACAAATGGATGGGTGGGGATGGACAAATGGGGACACACACACACACACACGCACATGCTCAAAAACTTGTCCTCTGTCACGATTTCCTGTGCCCAGCACTTACTCACATCATTTAATCTTCCCAACAAGTTTTGAGGTGGGTACTAACGTTCACGTTTTAGAGGTATAGAAACCGAGGCTCAAGGCTTACATTACCCAAATCCTAATGCATGTAGCTTCACAGTATTTGATGGGTCTCCTTTTGTGCCTTTATCATAGAGATGGCCCGACCACTGAGTAGAACTGTCTAAGCACAGAGGTCAACTGTTATGATGCAATGTGACATGCAAGAAGCAGAAGCGCAACCTCCAAGTAAGGACCTGCCTGTCTGCCACACCTTGCTCCTGTGAGCAGTACTGGCCAGGCCTGTGGACCTGCAGGCACCACAGCTTCTCCTACATCTCTATCTGGGTTTCTCTGGCCACATTTCTCCTCTATGAAACAAGGCACCTACACCTGCCACACAGTAAGGTTTAGAAGGTTGAATGTGACCTTGTACAATGCCAGTAAATACTGCAGAAGGACCCCTATAGCAAGAAAAAGAAGTCAAAGCAATCACTGGGGTATAACTCAGTAACATCACTTGGCCAACATGTGTCCTGCCCTAGGTCTAACCCCTGAGCAACTAAAGACACACAACCAGGCAAACAAATAGGCCCTGAAGGCTTCACTTAGCCCTGGATACGTTTTTTGAAATGTGGACTGGTAAGCAACAGCCTTCCGCTGAGGCTGCAGGTGGATGATTCAAAACAGAAAGTCTCACAGAAAGGCTATAGACTTTGCAGTGCGCACGGCGTAGCACAGACTGTGCAGCCATACTCTCAGCACCCAGTGGTTTAGGGCGTCAGCAGCTGTCTTGGCGTACCCACAGTGTGCTTGTATTTCAGAAGTACAGAAACTCCAAGTATCACCCCTCCTCAGCCTGCCAACACCACCACCAGGACAGATATGCCTGCTGATCAAGGCAATAGGTGCTCAGCTATGGTCATGTGTTTTCTCTTTATGTCCTTTCACACCAGCAGATGGTGGCTTAGCTTGCTTTTCTTCATTACTCCCAAGATTCCGGAAGCATGGTCAGCAGCTGCTTGCTTTCTAACAGCGCCTGCACCTACCACCATGTGGATACCGAGAACAAGCGATCAACAAGTGAATGGGAGGAGCTTTCTGTACAGGCAGTATGAAGTCACTGCTGGACCTGCTTTGCTAGGCACAGCCTATCATGGCTCATGTGTGTCATCTTGGCATCTGTGAAACTGAGGTGGAGCTAAGTGTTCAAGGGCTGCCTGGGATGTATGGTGACCCCCAGGTAGCAAGGGCTCCATAATGAAACCCCGTCCACAAACAAACAAACTTAAGCTACTCCAGAATTTTAAATTATCAGTGCTAAAGGACCGTGTGTAAACACACACCACAGCAACAAAGCGAGAACAAGCCATGTTAATGACACACATTCTAATTTCCTAAGAAGCAGAAAAACCAAGTCAAAGTCAAACATCAAGTAATTCTGTAGCTAGCCAGAAAACCTTTCAGGAGTTCCCAGGAACTCCTGCACTCTGTGTTCAGGTAAAACAGGCCTACCATGCAACAGGTATGTAAAATCCACACTTCAAACACTGGTAATTGAGTGAAAAATCTTAGAATTTTGTCACAAGCCTTCTGCCTCTTCATCCCCTGTAAAAGCACTGCTGGACAGAGTCAGCACCAGAGAACAGTGCCGCCTTAGCAGGGCCTGTTCCTTAGAGAGCCGCTAGCCTGAATGAAGGGGCTGACCTGGAGACGGGTGGGGACACCTTGCAGATCCTTAGACTAGACTTAGATGATGTTCACAAAATCTGTTCTTAACACTGAGGATTAAGTCTCTAGTCATGGTTATCAGGATGGAAGAGTTCTGAACTATACTCTGGAAACAAACGTGACAATAAGACAAATTATGATTCTTTCCTTTCTAAGACAGGATCTCACTCTGTAGTAGGCCTGGCTGTCCTGGAACTCTCTGTAGATCAGGCTGGCCTTGAACTCACAGAGATCTGTGAACTGGCACACCTGCAATGACTCATTTCACACGATACAGAGTCAGGACCCTCCTTCCTTTGGCTGATGTGCAACAGTTTACAACGCAGTTTAACAGAACCTGGGGCCCAGGATCCTCACAGGAACACCCAGCACGGTGCTGCTCCTCAAGTCGTAGCGAGCCTGCTAGCACTTGGCTGCCAAGAAAAACCTGTGGCTGAAAAGTCTGCTCTGATCAGGTCTGGGTTTTAAGCACCTCCTGGTCTGTCAAAGTAATCACAGTAAGCTGCCACCAACACCGTGTGCCTGTTTAAGGGCTTCTGTTTAGTGTAGTACACCACTTCTGAAGCAATACAAATGACCACACTCGCACTGCGTTTCCTACTTCATGAATGGAGGGAAGGTGGGCTCTATCTGAATACAAATACTCGCCACAAAAACCACTCTACTGTGTCCTGCTTTCCAGAAACATAACTACCAAAAAAATGCCACAGAAACACCTGGGTAGGTGGAACTAGTTTACAGTTGATGTAGACTAAACCCCACTACAAACCTTCATTTAACATGGATTCTGTACTGTCTGGAGCCAGGAGAAGACATCATAGTTCCCAAAGACTACACTATTTGCCTCTCTTCAGATCCTTCAGTACAATTCTGAGGATGACAGCCTGGCTCTGTTCTGTTTGTTAATGCAGCACACACTGAGAGGCATACTACAAATGACACTTTGTCTTTATTGAAAATAAAACCCTCTGTTCAATTTAAACGCCACCACCTCTTTAAGACTTGGGACCTGTTCATTGTTATGTTGCCAAGACTTTGCTTGTCAGCAAGGTTTGCAGCCATTACCTTCCAGTTAGGTCCCAGAGGGCCTCTCTTGGTCTTGACTGACTGGAATAACGCAGGGTCTTCATCAGCTTTGTAGTCCTGTAAAGCAAAACAGAGTCAGAGCTGAAGAAGAAAACCAGAAACTGTTCTTTAACCTTGCCAGGTGGCTTCTGTGCTTTTTACACACAGGGGAAAAGCCATCCACACACAGCACCTGCAGCTTGTATCCCATTACTTTTTAAACTTTTATCTCAAGTATGTAATTACAAGTGTTGAGCGCTGGTAGCATGCCACCAAGACTAGCTGCTGGCCGTCCAGAGTTTAACAGTTCCAGGGCTTTCCAGTCATGGAGACACACTGATGAAGTAAAACATGCTCACCTCCCTGTCAACAATACCTGTACTTGGTGACCCTGGTTGGCAACTGTGAGCAGCTATTGTACTAGGACAGATGAGAAGCTCTGCTCCGGCTCCCCCCCACCCCCGCCCTGCTTCTTGGCCGGATCTATTTTCCCCAAGTCCCTGCTTCTTGGCTGGATCTATTTTCCCCAAGTCCCTCACTGTCGTGAGAGGCAGGGATGGTTTGCTGTCCAGTGACAGCAAACCACAGACAACCCCAAAATCTAGTGGTTCTGCTATAGAACTCTATTTCCCTCAATGTACTCAGCCTGACAGATTGTGGAAAATGAGGTAAGTCGTTTTTCTTAATCTAAAGTTCCTGTCCCTCCCTCTTTCCTCTCCTCTCTCCACAGAAGTAAAATTATTTTTAGAGTATGAGCAAATGACAGGAAGTGCAATAATTGTCAGTCTAAAGCCTGGTTACAAGGCCTCTTCTAGGCTGACTTCCAGGGCCCAACATGCTTCACAGTATTTGTGAAGGGCACAAACATTGCAGAAAATGCCCAAATCCCAAGAAGAATGTATTAACTACCAAAAGAGAAAACATTCAGTCAGAATAAAAACCAAACAAGACCAGCCAAGAACACACCCTTCCAAGAGACAAGTGTGTTAGTCTTCATATTTAGAAATAAAAATAAAGGCATACCATGTCTAGAATATTTTAACAATTAAACTCTAATCATCAGTCCAATGGCCATGACTTGTTAACTTATTCTCTTCAAGAGAGAACCCACACCCCTTCCTCTTACGGACTGGGTGTGATGTGTCCATGATCACAGCAGCATCTTTTTCTTCTGTTTTCACAAAACCTGAGCTGTAAGGGAACTGAAGAGTAAGCACCACATTTCTAAACATAAGCAGCTGACAGTTAAAGGCTGTACCATTGTTTTATGTGCCATTAATAATGAAGACTAGAAGGCTAGAGCATGTCACAGCAGGAGACAAACCTTGATTCTGGATGCATTAAAATGTGTAAGGAAAGAGGCAAACAGGATTTTAGAACTGCGGATGAAAAACTGTGGAGGTGCTTTGAACTTTAAACCTACCCACACACATGGAAAAAAATAAGTAAATCCACAATAAAGTGTACACAATTGCTTCTAGGGTTGAATGAATAAAGCCAATGGCATTAAAATAAAGGCAGTTCATACAGCAGGACCAAGCAACTTGTAAAGGAAGGGAGAATGCAGTTTAAATTCTGACCAGTGTCAATCACTTCCCGGTTGGCCCCAGAGGACCAGTGAAGGTGTAACAGAGAAGGGTCAGAATACCTCTTCTCTCTGCTATCCCAGCTCCATGCCAACCAGACACTCCACATATCTACAGAACCCATTTACAGTAGATGCAGAAACTAAAGAAACTAAAATATCACTATAGATCCTTCACGCGATTCTAGAAAGCACACTTGTGAGCCTTTATCATCAATATAAGCCGCAGGCTGCTTTTCTGAAATGCATATGAATATTACCATGCAGCAAGGAACTGACATGGCTCCCTACAGCCAAACTGTAACCAGACTTACTCTTTAAAAGACATTTGTTCATTTTATGTGTATCTGTGTACTCCACATGCATGCACTGCCCTCAAAGGGCATAAGGCACCAGTAACTGGAGTTACAGAAGGTTGCAAGCCACTATGTAGTGGCTGAGAATTGAACCCTAGTCACCTGAAAGAGCAGCCAATGATCTTAACCACTGAACCATCTCTCCGGCCCCCCAACTGAACTCTTTGATCTCTGCCCTGGCTCTACCTCACCTGGCAGCCAAAGGTGTCAGCAATCTGGGGAGTAAACACTTAAAAAACCAAGGAGTCAGTGTAAGCAGCAGGGGTGTCCACATGGGTCTTTCTGAGGCAGATACACAGAACGAAACCTTCCCTTCTTTGCTCTTTCCTCTTGAGTGCAAAGCAGCAAACATTAAAGATATTATACTGAAAATGTAACATAGCCCAATTATTAAAAATAGCACCATAACCCTGACAGGTGAGAATAATGCACCTTGTCAAAACCTAGACATTTTGTGTTTGCCAGTTTGAATCCGTAAATGTTTAATCAGTTGAATTAAGTAGCATAATATGAAAAGGTAGGAAGTGGATGTAGTTTTCCCAACCTCAATTTTGTATTTCTACAATAAACATTAATTTTTTTTAAACAGTATCTTCTTGCTGCGGTTTTATTGTTGGGCATCTGACTTGGTCTCTGGATTTGAAAACTGGTCGATTTATATCCATATCACAATGAACAAATATATTCCTTCATGTATGACAGTTTCAGCATACAGAATGCAACCTCAGCTACCAATTACAGCTGCAAATGAGCAATAGTGTGGAATGAGACAGCCTGCTGGCTTTGTTAGTATTCTGTCTCCTCTGGGATCCCAGGGGGAAAGGGAGGCTCTGATGAAGAGAAGCCCCTGGCTCATGGTTTATTGTGCTTGCCACCAGCTGCAGACTTCTCATCTCATTAGTTCTTTTAGAATACTGTGGGTGAAGACAGCTGCAGTCTACTTGAGTCTTCAGCTCCTGGGTATTCTGAAGGCTGAATCTGCTATGCACTTTCTGTAATCTTTGGGAAAAAAGAAAGCAAATTCACTAGGCCAAGGAAATGGAAATGCACTCTTAGGAAAAAAAAAAAAAAAGCTCTAAAATTATGTTTAAATGAAGAAAAATATTACTAAGGTGTGCACTGTGCTTAACATATTTTTGTGATCTAATTTTAATTATCTAGACAATGCCCAGAGGCCTGGTCAGGCTAAGGGCCTGGTAAAACCATCATTATCTAGCTAGGTGCACTTTCCGAGACACTACTTGTTCCTTCAACAATAGAGCCCGAATGACACAAAAGCACAATGGCATCAGCATAAGACACATTTGGATTAACACTAACCAATGCTATGTCACTGCAACTCTTATTTAAGTAAAAATGAAGGCGAACGGAAGTCAAGATCCCCTTGGAGAACAAAATAAAGTATGATATGGTAAATAAGTGGATTAGTGTCTCCATGCTGGAGTCACAGAATGCTGTCATTAAATTCATATATGGAACTGTTCAGCCTGGAACAGGAAAGCTGCACTACCTCTTGGGTACACATCTGTTACTTACTGCCACTCTCAACAGAGGCTCTCAATAGACACCAGATTAATTCTGAAGACAAAGCATATTAGTTTTATGAATCTTTTAGCATAGTAGCTGTTCCCCAAAATGCAAGCATAAAATCTGTATTGAGCCAACCTAAATATGTCCTTGAGCCCAGATTTAACTCATGATTATGAATGGGGAAGGGAGTAGGTGGTGAGTTTCTTGACAGATTGTGAAAAATCAAGATGAGCTCCAGACACCAAGCGCTTCAAGTGTGCCTGGGTTAGCACAGGTGAGGGAAAGCAGAAATAAGGAACAGCTACTCAGAAGCACCAGCCTTAGCAACTCCGTGACACCTGCTCATAAAGATTAGGCCCGGCCAATATAGGCCGCTGCCCAGGGGGAATTTTACAAAGTAAACGATAGGATCCTGCAGACTGCTATCAAATGTTTTACTTTAGCATATGATGATTACTTAGGTGTCTAATCAAACAGAGATAATCACTAAAGTTTAAAATGCATGGGCACTACCATTCAATTTAGCAAAGCTTAGGGAGAGAAAGGCTCAATGAAATATGAAAACAAATATCAAGCATTCAATCTATCAGCAATGCTCTACTCCCTTTTAAATACTATGGCCCTTAGGAAAAAGAATGTAAAATTCCTGACTCCAGGCTGACTGCATGCCTGGAGTGGACAAAATTCGAGCCATTAAGGTTGGCCATAAACTTCAGGTCAGCCTGTTTAAAAAGTGTTTGCACTGAACATTACTGTAGCAAACAGCAGAGAAAGAAATAACATTTACTAACTTGTTTAAGAAACTGATTTCAACAGTTATTTTCCAATCGGCAGCTTTCTTTTCTGTTTTTAATTACATATCCCCAGTGACTCCTCACCCTTGCAGGTTCCCACAGAGTACCATTAATACAGTATAAGTAAATCTCATTAATTCAGGTCCTACCACCTTGGAATTCATAATCACTAGCATAGGGGCCGGGCTGAAGTTTATCTTTGCATGATCTATGAAAAAAAGATTTGCTACACAAATTAATAGAGTAACAAGATCTCAGGAGGGCTGTTTAAACAGTTCAGAAGTGTTTTAGAGCAATTCAGAAGTCTTCATTTGCATATAATTATTATGCTAATTACAAATCATTCTTATCTATTCATTAAAGCAGAGTCCCAAAGGACCACTAATTGTCAATAACTTGTTGGCCTAGTTTCTGTTACTGAATGTACCTCAGAGGAACAAAATTGCATTAAAAATATTCTGTAATTCAGCTCCTTCATGAATCCTTCCTGCTTTCCACACACAAATCCTGAAAGCTGCATTTACAAACACCTGTACTGAGATCACAGGTGAAATCAGAGTGTGGTTGAGAAATTCGGACAGAGCATTTCATACTTTCTAATTCCAGAGACCCTCCAAAGAAGACCTGGAGTGTCATGATGATCCCAGATGGTCTGTGGGTGTTCAACAATGCCTAGCTACTTATGGCTATTAGGGTGGGCCACCACAGGCCCTGCTGGGTTAGAGAACAGCCGGGCGGGAGACATCTTCCTACTCTCCAACCATGCCCTCTCCTCAACTGGTAAACAGTGTTTACCAGTACAGATCCTGAAAC